TTGTTTAGCCGTATCTTCAGAAAAAAATCACTTCTACTGTCGTGGTAAACAACCTGCTTCCCTATTTATAATGGTCTGGCCCTCTAGCAACTTCAGCACTAAATTATAGCTAATTTGCCTACAAACGTCAGGTGGTCATAATAATCTGGCCACTCAGTGTAAAATATATATGTATACATTTTTTTATTTTTTGACTTTTTGTGTCTATAGTTCATCACGCTGTCCACATTGCTCTGTCCAATGACCCGTCCAGCTCACGTCAGTTGAGCAAGTGTTCTATCAAAAGTTGTGACTGTTAGAATGTGTGACCGGTGACGTGGTCACACATTTTAACGTAATCCTGCCCAGTTTTTCGGCAGTCGAATGTGGGACCGGCAAAAGGTGAAGAGTTCCAACGCTTTTTCAGCTGTGCCAGGGCAGATCGGCATTGCAGATGGTATGTGCAGGAGAACCAATCTGCCCTGGAACAGTTGATCGGTCCTGAAATGTGACTTTGTGACTGCGATCTCACATTCCACAAAGTCAGATAGAAGTGACATTTCAGAACCGATCAGCTGTTCCAGGGCAGATCGGTTTTCCTGCACATACCATCTGCGATGCCAATCTGCTCTGGAACAGCTGAAAACGATTCACCTTTCGCCCGTCACATATTCCACCGCCGAAAAAGTGGGCGTGATCACATTAAAATGTGTGACCGGGCATACATTCTAACCCATTCACAATCTTTGATAGAACACAGGCAGTGATCACGATGCTGTGACCACACTGAAGAGTGGCTGTCGATAATGTCAATCAAGCTGAAGGTGCGGGTGCTCATCCTCCTGTATTGCATGTCCTAGGGTGACAACACTGAACCTGCATAGATTTACAGTAAGGCAGCATTGTCACCCAAGGAAGAAAAAGTGAAAGAAGATAAATAAGAGATAATAAATAAAAAAAATATTATAGTAGATTTATATAGCGCCAACTGTTGGCACAGTGCTTTACAAAACGGGGGCACAGATATAGGGGTAAACTGTAAATGAGAGTAAAACCCTTTTTTTGTTTTAGGGCCTGTTCACATTATTGGCCTGTGTTAGTGTGTGTTAAAGAGGAACTTCACCTAGCGGCGGAGGGGGGGACGCACGAAGGCACAACAGACAAGCGATCGGGCATACTTTCACACTCCGCCATGGTGATTTGTAGAATTATAATGTGATTTGTAGGCCAGGATTTGATGTGCTGGGCGCAGTTTTTGGTGTGGTGCTGGCAGGACATAGATAAGATATGTAACTTGGGGCTAGGCAGTGTACACACTTCACTTGTAATGTTACGCTAGACACGACTAGGTAGCTAATCCCCCTAAAATTAGAGGGACAATCAAACTATTTTTGAGTATTTTGTCATTGTCTGTGATATCTCGCATTCCTTGGCTACTTAAAGGACAATTGTACTTTTACACTAAACTTCTCTTCCCAGCATACATATTAATAAAACTGGACCCACCAAAGCAGTTGCCTGATCATCTTTAGGGCTAGTGCAGACCTCCGCGATCTGGGATCGAGCGGTCCTGCACAATGCAGGCAGCGATTGCCGCGCGGCCCCATAGAAATGGTGACATCCGCGCAACAATCGCAGAAAAAAGGTACATGTACCTTTTTTTGCGATACACGACTCGCAATCCGCCCGGCGCGACTGGGGTGCCATTAGAAAATAATGGCACCCACAGCGCGATCGGTTCACACCTTGGGACTCGTAGTGTGCACTGGCCCTTACTCGCTTATCACTGAGGATTGGTTGGATTTGATCTAGGGTGTAAGCAAAAATAACTTCTGAATTTTGTGGTTGCTTCACTCTATACCCTTGTGGCATTAGTACATGAATAAGACATGCTGGGTCTGGTTCTCAAGTAGGCCATCAATAATACATGGCTGTGGATATACTGACACCTTACGCTGCATAATATATACATTACTAAATGGTAAAGGGAACCTGAACTAAAAGATCTAAGGAGGCTGCCATTGCTGACCTCCTTCTGAAAATGCCTGAAGCCTGGCTGTCTCTGGCCTCAATACTGTGACTCACAACAAGCATGCATCCAGTGAAGTCACGGGAAAGTCATCACTCTTAGTCTGCATATTTGTTCCAGGGAAGGGAGCCGTGCCCATACCTTCTACTCTGTACTGTCCTGTATAGAATTGTAAAATGTTATTAAAATGGACCTGAACTCTAAAGTGAAGACATAAGTTATATGAATTATCTAGAAATGTTAACTGCGGCTTAGCAGGACCATGACAACAATTTCATTTTGCCTTTTGAATTAATCCTGAAAAATAGCAGTGCACGTCCTGGCATGTGAGTTTGCCTAGGCACTTGTATGCCTGCAGCCTTATAGCTGTATATCTAAGGCAATGCTGCCTCTGCCAGTCTTTTGAGTTTTGGTGATGTCACTTATGTGCTGCTCACTGTTCTCCTTGCTGTAAAAAACGCTGTACCTGAGGACCCGCACTGGATGCATCTCCCTGCTTCTGATTCATGATGCCTGTGCAAATTGTGATTGATTTTTCCCCCCACTTCTGCTTCCTGGTCATTTCCCCTCCAGTCATCAGATCACCAGTCATAGGGGGTAGCGCTGACATGAGAAAGCTGCCTCAATTAAGATTAAGCAAACCACTTCGGGCTTGATAAAGAGGTCTTGTACCTCGAAACGCGTAGCCAATCCTCCATCCTACGGACCGCAGTGTCCGTCAGCATTGAGCCCACTGCCAAGACAATCTAGCAGCACGATCGCTCATTCAAAAGATACCGCTACATAGCGGCACTCCTGCTCCTGTTCAGCCGACGAGTGGCAGCCTGGCCAGCTGCGCTCTCATTGCACCTGACGGCGAGCCTCACGGCAAACGTCATAGTTCACCTTGCCTAACTGACCCTCCAGCCACATCAACCACAGACGAACAACCATAGATTGACCCAGAATCATGTAGTCCGTTCTCCACACCCACACCAACCAGCCACAGATGCTGCCCAGCACTCTAAGCCGACACACTGCTTTCAGAGCTCTACCGTGAAGACTCCAGCTCGTCCGTCTGAAACCCGTGCTCTATACCCACAAGGACTGGTCAGATTTACTCCTGAGCGTTCTAATCAACTGTAAGATTTCATCCCCTCTTCCAAAACAGTGAGCTTTCATTTTTCCTATACCGTTCCAGCAAATCCCAGGGTTGCAGCGCTTCTTTCCACCTTTCTTTCACATGTCTACAGGGCTCCTCCCCCTGAATAAGAAGCTTGCTCACCCTATAATATTTCAAGCCTCGCATTGGCATACCATTGTTCCATAATGGTTTTATAGTTGTTTAATTTTAATCTTGTTTTAACATTAAATTTTGTTTTAAATATATCCATCCACCCGTCATAGTCCATACCAGCTGTGCGCTCGCCTTTTTTTGTGTTTTTATCCTCAATTAAGATGGCTACCTATGCAAAGCCCTGCCTCTACCAAAATGGCTGATTTTACAAAGAGACAGTGTGGAACAAGGAATAGTAAGTCACTAATGGGGAAAAGATCAGCTTCAGGGAGCCCACAGGCAATACTAGTGACCAGTCATTTGCCCTTTGCTTTCCTTTTTTGGCACAACTTCCACAGTTTAGATTCTCTTGAAATCTCTAGATGCATCTTTAGCAATAGCCTTATTGTTGTTTATACATGTCAATAGGGATGCACCGATACTGATACTAGTATTGGTATAAGTGCCGATACCGAGTATCTTGTAGTCGCCCAAATGCTCCGATGCCTAGCTCGATACTCGAACTTCCGGTATCAGGAAGCCAGGCAGAGAGTCATTACAGGCTGCCTGGCTTCCTGATTGGCCGGGAAGCCGGCTCCATGCACCCTCGTCACTTGGTGACGAAGGAGCATAGAGCCGGCTTTCCAGCCATCAAGAAGCTGGGCAGCCTGAAATGACTCGCCGCCTAGCTTCCTGATTGGTCGGGAAGCTGGCCAATTAGGAAACAGGAACGGCGAGTCATTACCCGCCTCCGTCTTCCCAATTGACCAGAAAGCTGGCTCAATGCTTCCTCATCACCTGGTGACGAGGGAGCATGGGGTCAGCTCCTGTGCTAATTGGGAAGCTGCGTGGCGAGTCTTTACACACCGCCCGGCTTCCCGGCTAATCAGGAAGCCAGGTGGCGAGACTTTCGGTATTCGTTATTTGGTATACGTTATTTTGATACCGAAAAACTGATATCAGTGAATCCCTACATGTCAATATAGCATTAATGTATTCCACAGCACCTTACGGAGTGTACAGAACCACGTAACATCAGTCCCTGCCGTCCCTGAGTGGCTTTCAGTCTCGTGCCTACTACAGTCATACACACAATTAATGTAAAGTCTCACTTCTTTATAGTCCTTTATGTTATGACTTGTATGTTTGTAAATGTCTTATAATGCTAGTTTCTCTAATTAGCAAAGCTGGTTTCTGCTCTCATACTGCAGTGGTCTGCGCTGCAGAGCTGAGTAATAGCCACACCCCTCAGCACAAGTGTCTTCACCTGGACCTGTTTTCACAGGTCTGACGGTCTGACTAGTTCTCAGAGCTGATTGCAGGGTGCAATCATTCTAACTTTAGTGAATGTTGGACTTGCACATTCATATTTAGGCACCCTCCATACCTGCTGTAACAGGAAAATGGACATGCTATCAGTCTGGGTTGTAGACAAAAACAGACAGATACATGGCGAGAATATAAAAACTCCCTGCATATAATACCCATGGTGGCAAAGTGGTGACAGGAGGCAGAAGGGCTCAGTGCATTGCTTCAGCTGGTTAACCAATGACTCATCCTATTTTTTTATTTCAGTCTTAATAAATCCCAAGCATGTATTTCTTGTAAAGCTCTGGTCTGCATCACTTCATCAATATTTTCTTTTCTCCTTCAGGGCACAAAGCGTAACTCGTAAGGCGTACAGAGGATAGCAACAGATGGAAAGCTGTTCGGGCTATGTTAAGTCAAGCTATGTCACTGCATGCCAGATGGCTTGTATTGAACAGATGATAAATTACTCCAGGATATGACTGTCAAGATGCCGTCTGGTACCTCGCAATCCCCGGAGGACTCTAAAGCTCTCCTGTCGCAGGAGAAATCGAAGAGTAAAGGTCCGTTTCATGTTGGACCTCTTTTCCAGCATCGGGCTGAGAAGATTGTCATCACACGAAGTGACAGTGTTCCTGATGAGAATGTACTGAAGATCACCATCACAGAGACGACCATTATTGAGTCTGACCTGGGAATTTTTAACTCTAGAGCCCTCACCTACCTCATATTATGGTTTTTCTTCAGCTTTTGTACGCTGTTCCTCAATAAATACATCCTCACCTTATTGGAGGGGGAGCCGAGCATGTTGGGTAAGCTTCTGTGGATTGCTAATTCACATCACTTGACACAAAGAGTGCTTACAGTTTAACAGCATCATTGCTATCAATGTAGTACTTTCCACTTGTTGCTTGTAGGTTTTAAAACTTATCTACACCCTAGAAACAATAATTGAATGCATTGCAGTACGGCTGAAACAACTAATCGATAATAATCAATAATGAGAATCGTTGTCATCCACGCTGTGCCCAGCGAGTATCAGAATGGGACACAGACCACTGCACCAGTGGTGAGGAGAGCTCCCCTGAACCCCCCCTGCTGCCGCCGCCGCTGCATCGGCACTGCTCCCGCTGCATCGGCACTGCTCCCGCCGCTCTGCAGCTCTCTCCTCCTTGCTGGGAACCCAGTGCTGTGGTTTGTATCCCCTCTGATCCCTGCTGCTCTCCCCCTACCTGTATCAGCAGAGGCAGCGGAGATTGGAGGAGTCACAGAGCTGATCCACCTACTGGCGCCCAGCGGGAAGGAAATAGCAGGGACAGGGTCAAGTCAGGAGTGGGGAGATGCAAGGAGGAGAGCTGCGGGATGATCAGCAAATATGTGAAATATTTGCTGATCGTTCCCTGTAATAGTCAATCATTGAAATGATCAGTACTGATTACTATGGTTGTTTCTAAATAACTGAAGATATAGTATTCATATACTGTGTCCCCAATTATGAATGAACAGGAAGTGCTCTACACCACTTCCTGTTCATTCATGATAGTATTTGTTTACTATGAACACAATCGCCTTGATTTATGAATGAACAGGAAGCCTCTGTTCTGAGTGCTTCCTGTTCATTGAGCGCTGGGGCTGTAGAAAAAGAAATTGAGTACTCCATCTTCAATCTCTCTCTCTCTTTTTTTTTTTTTAAAGGGAAATATCAAGGGTCTGTTTAGACCCCCCTTCTCCCACACGACAGACTCACTTTTTAACTTTACAGTTTTGCACTGCACTGACTACATGTGAAGCCCTTAAAAAAAGTTATACACCCTCCACATAGTTCCTGGTTCTTCTGTCGTCTTTTGTCATATAGAGTTTAAGGCTTCCCAACTTGGACCTACTCATCATCAGACAAATGACCCACTGCATTGTGTGCAATGGCAGAACAAGCTTCCCTGTGGTTCATGTTAGGTAAGAGGAAAGTCACAGTGTATGCAGTGCAGGGGGTCACTCAGCTGAGTTTAAGGCCTCATTCACACGACTAACAGCTGGCCCGTACAGATCCGTGCGGGGTGCAGGGCCGTATTGGGCTGCTCCCGGGAAAGACAGATGCTGCGTGTGATTGCACGCAGCAGCCTGTTCTTCTCTATAGGAGTACGCCGCCGTACGCTCACCCGAATTGCACGATGGATCCTGTCTGCGTCCGAGCAGGGACACCCACACCTGCCCGGACGTGCAGGTCGGGTGAGTGTATGGCCGCTCTTCTCCTAATAGAGAAGAGTTTTTTACCTTAATGCATACTCTGCATTCGCCCCCCCACTCTTACCTGTCAGCGACGCTTGTCCCCGCCGCCGGTCCCGAAGTCATTCTCTGTTCCCCATACTTCCTGGTTGCAGGGGTGAGGATGCTGATGGCAGGGGAGCCATAGGCTCCTTCTGCTATCAATCAACCTGTTGGTCAGAGAGAAAGGGCGAGGCCT